GGGGGGGGGGGGGGGGCGCAAAAAATGGACCAAATTTTGCCGGTATCGCTCTTGGTGGAGACATGTAATCAACTCTGATGGGGTCGCGGCTCGCCTGTGGTGGACATGAATCAGATAGCGGAGGGCGTACTCATGTTTGTATGACTTAGCTGTTACACCACATTGACCAAGCGTCATCGACAGGATGGAGCAGTGTTCCCACAGGACCAATCACCGATGGCCAATCGTCCCTTCCCATTTTGCCAAAGATGGCTCAAAAACATTTTCCCTATCTTATCTATCCTATCGATATCACTTCCCACCTTTTCAGCCCACTTTCAACCCCGAGTAGCTACCTTTTCCTCCAGGCTAATACATGCCTCAAGCATCTTTCGGTACGTTCATGCTTTTTTCCCAGCCCAGTCATGTATCTTTCTCTCTGTTCTTCGTAAAACAGGCATTCTTCTATCACATGACCTTGTCTTCGCACTCTTTGAGGCGCATTCGCACTTGAACTTGTCGCCGTCTCGTCTTCCTTCATAAAACTTCGTCTACATTCTCCAAGGCCAATATCCCCAGTCCTGCATTTGACCTTCAGCATCGTCCCTGCATTCGTTGGTCCATGTACGTACTCCTTGGACCGAATTCCTTCTTTCTATCAACATTCCGAACAGACAGACCAATCCTTAACGTGTTTCGCAGAGCAAACAATGCCACTGTAGTTCCAAACGCACCTCCTCTTGCTCCAGCACGTGTTCCAAGGCCTTGAGCCGAGCAACGAGAGACGGCACACTGTCCTCTTTCAGCTTTTCACCGATTCCGCCGATTCCATCCGTCACGGCTTCCACCGTCCGTTCCGTGGCTAGCCCGGCGGGCGACGGTGGCGAGTCGTCGAGGACCCCGCTAGTTTTGGTGCCGCGTTTTTTCCTCGACTGTCAAGCCAAACGGGGATAAGGGAGCAGATGAATTCTCAGACAGGAATGGTGAAGGGAGATGAAACTGCCAGCTACCCATGGAACGCTCATGGGCCGTCCATGAACCGCTCAGCGCCCACTACCGCCAATGAGCCATCTACTCCAGATCACCGGTTTCCTCTTTGAGGAGCTGTTTTCACATAGAAATCCTTCCCCCGGTCGGAATTCCTGCCCATGCCGGCGGGGGTCATTTTTTCTCAATCGTTTTACTCGGAGGGGGGAACCTCCAACGGGGGAGCAAACTACAAACGCAGACACCCCTAGTTTTCGGTTTCGTTTCTGCAGCATCTTTGCATTGACGTCATGCTGGTCCGCCTTTCAGAGATAGACAAGCGCAAGCACACCAAGAGCTGGAACCTCCCATATTCGGCCGTACCTGCACTGCTGTACAACCGTTCAGGTAACCAACCTCGTACAAGTGTGTGTGTGTTTGCTCGTGTTTATCCTCTCAACTGGTCTGGGCATCAGTCTACAACGTGCGGTATACGATTGACGCACCAGCCGGGGATACACACGAGGAAGGGAAACTGGTTGCAAATTTGTTTTCCACCGCTTTTTCCCCAGCAGTGCTTGCTGTCAGGTTTTGCAAGTGTCAATGAACATGGCGTGTTCCAAGACCCATGACGGCGGTAGCACGGCCAACTCGCTCAATTTTTTATGTGCCTTCGAGACGCATACAGTACGTCACCAGCAATTTCAGTCGTACCTTTGCCGGGAATCGCGAACTCTAAGTACTGTTGTTTGATTCGGCAGAGAGGCTAACCCTAAATCTTCCGCATGCTGCAAAGGGAGGGAATTCACCAGGTCTCCCTCGTAAGGTACCTCAGTCTAGCCCTAAAGCTCACACGGGACGCGATCCTGAGGGCACACCGCCCCAACGCCACCGAAATCAGCTGTCAAGTTTCTCTCAGCACGCAAGTAATATCTTGTCACCCGTTAAGCTACTTGATCCACGAGTCGGAGCCCAGCGTACGCCAAGGCCTTGCTTGTTTGTGGTGTTTAGAGATCAAGCGAAAGCGTATTTTTTTGGCGACCCCGATGTACAAATTTCAGCCTTGCGCGTGTAGCCCCGCACCTGCTCGCAAGCCTGCAAAGCAGCCGCTTTCGCCTCTAGCTCGTTCATGGCTCTTCCTAGGGTGCGGAGGCCCGACCCGAGGGCAAGCTTGACTATTCTCGCCCTTCTCCTTCGTTCCCGAACGGCGAGGTACCTCCTATACATGTTCTGTAACATGATCGCCCCCCGCGTCATCCTGAACTCCTCTAGGAGACGCTTACGCCTTCCGAGTGTCGGGTGGAGCGGAAAACCGCAACGGAACATGCATGTGGGAGTAGGTCTCGAAACGTGTCATTGTTTAGATTGATTCTGGCCGTTTGGCCATTTCTATCCTCATAAGTTTGGATGGAATAGCGCAGTAAGCCTCATAGGACGCGATCGCTCTAAGCACGGCGACACGGCCAACCACAACGTTTTGACGGGCGGGGTGACGCTCTACCCAGCAAGGGCAACTTTCGTCCATGATGCTCGTAATCAGCACCTCAACAGGAATATGTTGTCGACGTCGATTCCCCAAGCAGATTTCCCAGGCGGAGGAAAAGTTCTACTTGTGTGAAGACTCCAAAATGTCCTAGAACCCATTGCTGTCACCACCTCTTGCCATTCGTTAATGCTTTCGCGTCTCTGACCCGACGTTTGCTCACTTTCCTGAATCCAGAGCAAAATGAACGACTAAAGTTCGTAGCGAAGATCTAAACACATCCCTTGCTCTCCTTACATGATGCGTGCGATCTTCCCGCGGATGTTGGCCTGTATCAACGTGGCAGCGTATTGGCGATCCTCATCCTCCCATTCAGGAGGATTCACTTTTCTCCACCAGTTCTGTATTAAACCAAAATCAAGGTCTCTTGTGTCAGAGTGGTAAACACGGGTGGAGGAAGGGTTGGGGAGTGATTCGTCCACGTACCGTGCGCTTGAGACGACCATATTTTAGTACACCATTCGGGGTCAAATACTTTCGTTTGACGACGGTGGGCCCTATATTCTCGATTAAGGCATGCCCACAAATGGGGCAGAAACGAGTAACCCGTAAGATGAGAAGCGTGGATGGAACTATCATAGCGTGTACGGAACTAACCCTACCGAGTGACCATAAAGTAGGTATTACGATAGGACACCACGAGAGCGCTTACGTCAAGACGGAGACGGTCATGTTTGCAGGAAAAGACGATTAAACACGAAGCGGACACTGACCGTGGGTACTTGGGGCCGGTGTGGATTTCAGAATAGTGGCCGGTTGCAAGACGATATCCCCGTTGCAAGTAGACAACTCGCTACGGGGGTTGGGTGAGTCAACGACCCATGCACCTTAATGGCAGTGGCGGCGTTGTACTGCCTCCATTTCTCCCGTCGCTCTTGCTCTCGTCTGGCTGCCGCTCTCTCCTCGATCATATCTTGCAGCATGTCCACCTTGAACACGTGATGGCGCGAAGTTCAGCAATGAATGTCACAAACGATCCGACTCTTCATGGGGCGACGAATGCCGCAACTGGAAGCAGCGAAGATGTAGTACCGTGTTTTGACCCTAAAATGTCACCAAGCGGCTGTAAGGTGTGCCCAACGCCAACACTTGTTCCAAGCACAGCCTAACCCCCAAAAATACGCTACCCCATTCCAGTCTGCCTTTAGTTCCATCGCTCACACACACCGTACCGAACGTTAAGAATACTACCGAGGGGTGCTACTTTTTGAATGCCCTTTCCAACGTACCGTGCTATAAGTGATCAAAGATGGCGCAAGTGATGCACTGAAACCCTCGTGTTTCCGTCACTGATCCCCTCAGCCCATAAGACGCCCTTGCAAGCACTCACCTTCATTGAAGCCATCATGTGGCGCGTCCTGTCCGTTTCCTCGGTGGCATTTCTTGCTTCGACTCGGTGGGCTGGGCGCACCTTCGGCATTTCAGCAAGGATGAGTAATTCTATGGTCAGGGCAGGGGTTGCTCTAAACAAATCGCAAAAACGTCGAGGGATATGCAAGAGCCATCCGTCGGCGGGAGACTACAACAGAACGAGGTGTCGTGCGGTAAGAGCTTGCCGTAGAGCTGGACACAACAGCATTGATGATTGAAAATCTCAGGCAACCTAAGGGACGGGTTCCTTATCTGTTCATCTTGAACAACACGTACAAGTGAGGTTCGGGGGAAAGGTTGGTGGTCGAGCACCTTCACGATGACGGTCACTGGAACACCGAGACTGTGTTTCTCGGTTTCTCATCCAGCACTATGATTTCGGGCAGATTGGTGGAAGCTGCTACTTTTTCGGTTCTCTGTTAGAGTTGGCCGGGGCAGACGTTCATCACGGGCCATAGAAACGAACGCCTCGGGCCAAGTCTAGCCGGTATCCTTCACAGACAAGTCCTGTGCCGGGAAGCCTTCCCCGGGGGGTGGACGGCGGCGAAATCAACCCTGTTCACACACCTCGAATTCTCTCGCTCGTCGTTTAATACGACTCCACAAACATGATCGAACAGACATGTGTCATGTCGTGGGTCTTGACGACATCAACCATGCGCAGAACCAAGCAGGACACCCCTTGGGACAAACTCTCGCTGGTGGGAGAATTTCTGCACCTACTTCAAATTCTGCCAGGAGGCCGACGGCAAAGCGTTTCCACCGTCAAGGCCATCTCCTTTGTTCGGGAGGGGGCAACCCTGCGGGGGCAACTGTACAAGGGCTACAGTAAATCTTACAATACGATTTCGAGAACCACTTGGACGGACGGAAGGCGTGTCGATCGATCTAAGGACATGTGTGCGATGCCACAGTTTTTCATAGAGCTCGGTCAGGTAACAGCAATGTAAACGCTTCCTATTCTAGTGGAATATCGGTCCAGCTAGATGTTGCCACCGAACGACACGTTTTGTAAGCCGCACTATAGGTTTGAAGGGCCTGTTGTGTTGTTATTTTTTCTCTAAAATCTCCGCATGCGTCGCAAGGCCCCAGCAGTGAATGGATGGACCCGACGCACCTCGCTCAGCACTCCTGCCAGCGACTCGACGCTCTCCCTTGGGGCAGCGTTGCCGCCAGTCTCTTCGTTGGCAGGGCCGCTGATGCTGCTGGCACTACCTTCTTTTGCGTTGCCCGCCCCTCCCTCACCGTTCTTCTTGGTAGGTGGCGTAGGGGAAGGAACAGTGGCGTTGGCTGCCGTTGCTCCTGGTCGGATTCGCGAATCAATATACAGCTGCCAAAGGCACGATCATCGATCGTCGCAACGAAGCGGTAATGGGTAAAGGTCGGTCAGAGGCGTCGTGAGACCGCTGTCCCCTTGGAAACGACGACACGAGCGAGAAGTCAGAAAGTCTCCTCGGCTAGGGGGTTGCTCGATAACTACGGTGGAAATAGGATTCATTGGAGGGAAAACCTCGGTGTTATGTTACAACGTTCCATAATGACGGCTTGCCTCTTGGTTATTGCCAGCTTGTGGGATCATATATCAGACCACCACCACCACGAATTGTTCAACGAGAGTTGCCGTCGCCCGGGGACGAAGCCGTCTTGCGTCTTTGCTGAGGAGGGGGATAAGATTCACTTGTTCGCGTTGTCCTGCCAAGATGCTCATCAAACAAACTGTAACTACACCACGCTCGCACAACTCGTTGGGATTGAAAGATCCTTCTCAATTTGTTACCTCGAGTTCGGTCGGTGCCATGCTGGCTAGCTTCTGGCGATGATCGTCGTTAACCTTGGCATCTTCCGCCAGGAGCTGAAGGGGCCACGGCAGGAAGACTAAGAAGTGAGATGGGAGAACGGTATTCATAGTCTCTCGACATCGTATCCCTCATGGCGTCCGGAAATATATAATAATCTCTACAAGGTGGATGTTACCACAAATGACCGCGACCGCCTGCGATGTACACAGCATAAGCTTCTAGTATTGGGCCATCGATAGCCGTAGTATTGCTGTGGCACGCGTTTCTGCCCACCTTTGCCAATCGCTGCACGTGATAAACTTGTTGCTTTAGTCTCTCCTCCTCTGCGAGCGTGGTCTCCAGCGACCCCTTGAGTCTGGATAGATGCTTCACCACTTCCTTCATTGGCACGCAGGAAAACGGAAGGAGAGTCGTGGAGGACGCGGGCGAAACTGCGCATCACGACAGTTCTTCAAGCTCTCCAGGGTTGGACTGGTACAGGTTTACAGTTCACCGCCCTAGGCTGAACCAACCGTTGAATTTTATAGCTTCAACGCTCGTAGACCTTTCGACGTCAGACACAAAATGTTTTAGGCGTCCCCAAAAATGATCGAACTCCGCTGCTTTCTAGCCGGTTGTATTATACGTCTAATAGATATCGCCCGTACATCGTGAGCTGTGGACGAAGGGGGTTAACGCGAGAGAAGACAAGATAAATGTGGCGACCAACACCGTATCCGAATTTCCCCCAGCCCGGCCCGAGCTTTCGTCTATGGGAAGTAATCGAAGAGGAATCACGGACAAACCCACCTCAACAAGACTGGCGTAATGCCCTCTCATGACCTCCATCAGATCACCTCGTTGGCGGCACGCGCAGCGTTCGTGCCGCACCAGCTCCCGAAAGCAGCTGTCAAACACCTGGCAGTATGGCGAGGTTAACGGCAGGAGCACAGCAGTAGTAGCCGCAGCGAAGAAGGTGGCCAAGCACTGGGCGAGACAGGTCTCCTTGAAGAAACACACATGTTTTCCCTTGTAGTTGTGGAATGTGTGGCTGAGTGAAAGGACATGTGAAAGACCACACAGCCCATCTGGAACACATAGGCAACACGCACCTCGCCCTCATCAGTCACCATGCCCTCCAACGACGATATGACGTCAAGGCCCATCCGCGCCCCAGACATCAGGTGCGGCACTCTGTCTTTTTCGTTCGCTGCCATGTCTTTCGCGGTCTTGGCGAGCGATGCCCGCCCGGAATGGGGGCGAGAGCGCGTGCCATATAGGATGTCTCGCAGGGCGGCTGAAAGGGCGGTAGCTTGCTCACGCGCCCTGGGGGACCCCCCCGGAGTTTGTTTCCCGAGCCTTGGATGCAGCGAGGAGGTAAAGGGTGGACAAGGTGACGAGTGAGAGAATTCGATCAGTGAATTTCTCCAAGTGTTCTCGAGTGAGTAGAGGAGATAGACAACGCTACCGCGGAGAGACCAAGATACGAGTCTTCTGTACACGTTTTCCCGCAAAAATTACGCGTGTACTGCCACGCCAGGTAACGTTTCTTACGACCTTGGTGCAGGGGTACGGTCGACCTCACTGTTCTGCTAAGAATATTTCCGCGAGGGCACAACATCTCTGAGCCCGTCATTCCCCGTTGTCGAGAGCTATTTTATGTACATGTATTTGGTGGGTCCGTCACCGGTGTGAAAAACAAGTCCCCTATGTGCAGTTTCTTCTGAGCTCTTCACGAGCCACTTTCGTTACTGACTAGACCTCTCCAGACCTCGAAGAGAGCAGTGCATGTACTGCATGCAAAAGTGCAACTTACACCGCGGTGGCTACTTAATGGGTGAAGTACAAAACGGCAAGCATTTATCACACATGGAAAAATAATCGCACGCGCCCAAACATCTACCCCACCTTAGCTACTCCCCCTGCCGGTGTTTGCCACCGGGGTTTGGGTTTTCATCGCTTGGCAGCGACGTTGTAAAACAAGCCGCCCCCCCGTTGGGTTTTCGTCGGTTGGCAGCGATGTTGTAAAATAAGCCGATCACTTCGTGAGCTCGGCAACCAGGTTACCGTTTTTTGTTTGCCTTTGGTTTTTTTTTTGCGGTAACCATGAATCGTGGTCGAGTAGATCATGTTGTGCGGGGTCGAGAACCCTCACTCCGCGCAAGGGGGATAATCGCACCACGTTGTGTTGAATTGGTCAAGCACCCTCGAGGCAGTTAAAAAATGCTTACAACTGTCTCTGGAAGCGAAGTACCAGAAAATAAATGAAGTCATACGCAGCTGTCATCCGTACGCAAGGAAGTAAGCACAAGATGCCGAACACCCTTAGCAGGATGCAGCGCACCCTTCATGCGACTCGCCGAATACCTCACCGCGCTTCGCGCTTGATGATGTGAGAGCCTGATCGGGTGAGAACCCGGCGTGCTCCGCCCCGGCTTTGTAGGGATGCGAGGTCAATGGTCTAACGACTACGGCATGCACGACTATGAGTACACCCCCCCCGCACACACACCGTAGCTATTTGCAGTCAGTTCTGCTTTGATTCGCAGAAAACCGCACACTATCCCTTGGTCGTCGCAGTACGAAAACAACCGAGAATATGGCAGGTCTGCGGTACGCTCACGTCGGTGTTCCCAAGTCACCCTGTCCGTTGATGAAGGTAGCATCGGGTGGACAGTGACCAAACGAGATAACCCGCCCACCTTGCGGGAACATCAAACCGGTAGGCTCGCCCTGCATCATCACCATCATCGTCGCTCTGCCGCCTAGGGTCATCGGGGAAACGTGCCCTAGTGAATGCCACCTTGGGAGGCAAAACCACCGGACTAAAGCATCCCCACCCTGGCGTGGTAGCCGTACGCGCCGAGGAAATGGATTCCTTATTTTTCATCTCGGCTAGCAGCATGGAGGGAATGCTGCAGTCGCCGCCACCACCTTGTGGCCCACCTTGTTGAGAGGGGTGAGGAGGTCCATCAGGTGCAGCTTGGGCCTACCGCGAGAACAAGGCAGCAACCCAGTAGCCAATACAGGCGGTCACAGATAATACCAAGTAGATGGTGCGACAAACCCGTCAATTGAACACAAACTTTGCCGATTACATCTGTATTCTACACAGGGAAGTACAGATTGGGGTTTGCGATGGTGCTACGTAGCTGCGGTACTGTAGTCCAGATGGCAACAATTTTCCTTCAACTTAGACAGCTACCTCATGTTCAAGCCTCCGATCGCATGGGAGTCTCTCGACACAGGGACGTGAGTATTCCCACTCGAAGTTACTGACCAAAGATCTGGAATGGTTGTCAACATGGAGACAACAACAACAGCCCCATGGTGAAAAATCTAAAGAGGAGAGACTACTGTTCGCTGTTACTACACATCAGCACGCATGGCAGGTAACGGCTCTGTCGAGGACACAAAGTGTTAAGGAAAGAAACATAACGTGAGTCAGGTGTGCCGTCACCAACAAACGATGCGTACCACGAAAACTTGGTGATATTTGATGCACGATCTACTGCACGGCGGTACGTACGTCTACATCAGACTCTACAAGACTGTTGTGCGACATTCGGTTCGTTGTTTTGTCGTCCCAGATGTTTTCCCGGCGCTCCCATTCGCCGCACCTACGGCCTTGTATCTCTGAGTCAACAGATCTAATCCAGGGTCATACATCAGGAAGTGCCTCCACGTGCTTTCATGCAAGGCGCGATGAAGCTCTACACGATCGCTGGTTACTTCTTCGCGCCACCGGGGGAAAATGTTCCGAAATTACTGTAGCTGTAGCAGTCGCGGCATCCAGAGTGTATGTTAGAATAGCCGCACCTCGATCTCAGGGTTCACGTACATCCAACCAGATGAGTAAGAAGAGCAGCTGGACCCGACGTTCAAGCCGCTTGCTTTGATACCCCCTCTCTTGGCGTGCACGCCATGATGGCGCCCTTGGAAATCAGGCCTGCGCTGTCTTCGAGCTATGGTACGGTCAGCCGCCACCTCTGGTTTGAAGGGGGCAAAACCCACGGCCATTTGGGCAATCTCGATGGACTGATTCATTCAGGTATCGAACTATTGTACTAGCAAGAGCACTGTGCCAACCAGCGCGTTGAGTCGTCGGGTACATCGATCGCGTGGTGTGGCATGGTTCATCTCCCATCTTTCATGAGGTGTTGATTTGTTCCCACATGAAATTGCGCCGCCGCGGTCTAATTGGTGCCGGTTCGGTGAACACAAATATATTTGACGGTTTCGCGAACATGCGACAACGCGGAACCCAGGCGTCTCTGGTTGCAAACCCTTTGGTGCGCAGGTGGGGGGCGCCTTGCACTTTGCGTGGGTCTACAGACACCTTGCCGTGTGGAGGCAGGAGAAGAAAACTATGCAGCAGCCGACTCTGCCTGCAGATGTTGTCACCCTTCCTGAGACGCTCACCAAGTTCCGGGAGCACGCCCTCAAGGGGAACTACGCCTTGGCCCAAAGATACCACGAGCAGGTAAGGTAGCAGAGTCTAAACGATTGCCATCTACGGCGGGTACAGCAATGTTGGGCTGAACCCATGTGTGCTCGCGAAGGGGTCATCGCATTTCGACGCTGGTAAATCTCGTAGCGAGCAACTACATTCCTACAGTATAGAGTCCAGCGGCCTTTCGTGGGGAGGTATGTACGTCATGATTGCGCTGTCGTGCCGGGAATCGAGCCCCGGTCGGAAATTTTCTTACCCATGGGGTTTTACAGCAGTAGACCGTATCAACAACTACTGGGAGCTCTTCTTTCGATTATGAGACTTCGGCACTTTGACCTGAAATAAGCAGGGCACGGCTGCGATCGAGAGCCTTGTCGCTGGAATGGACGGTGACGATTCGAGACGAGCAAAGTGGACTGGCCTCGCAACTGAATTGGACGCTGAATTAAAGATTGTCAAAGTGAGTGTAATTACATTGGGTGTGCGGTTTGGTACTGTACACCCCCAAGGGTATAGGTTGCTGAACGCTTCCTTTGCCTGCGGCTAACGAACAGACGCGAAGGGTTTACTACGAACGCTCGCCTGCCCACACCAACAGAATTGGGCAGCGGGGCTTGTTACACAATCGTAGAGCAAAGTTACTATGTTGCGTGTACTGTACAGTAGTGCCTTGCTCACCAGGCGGCATTCGGAGAGCAGAGCAGCAGTAATTCTCCGTGCCATGCATTTCCATTGAGTAACATTTGTACTTTCGAAGTACGTGCTGTCGGTCGCGCTCTTCCGTGGATGCTCTTTCTTCGTCAGAAAACCCAACAACACACAACATGCCAATCCAACAACCACAACGTCAACTACCCTTCATCTTTTGACTTGCTTCAATCAACGTGACAAGGCGCGAAAGCCCTTATATGTGCTTTCATACATCTCAACAATCGCCCGGCGACGATAAAAGTTATTACCCTGAGAGGTACGTGCAAACTGCTTACGTGTAGCTAGCAACATGTAGATATCCTGGAACCCCTGCCTCGGGACGTTTGCTGGTGGTAGCTGCTGCTGATACCTATCTCCTTCTATTCTACGACAGCCGTACTACACAACATCAGCGATACTGAAAAGCCAATATGTGTGCTAGAGGTGGGCTATTACTCTCTCAAGCACCACAGACTGGCAATCAGCCGCCCATGACACACCCTTTCTACTTCAAATTCATCCCAATGCAAATTGTTGCTTTAGACACGATATCCAAGAAAATGACCAACAAGAGTACCTTCGTTTTCGTTCTTGCAGGACATTGTCAAAGAACTGGCCCGGACCGTGTCCTTGGCTGGGAGCTCTGGCCCCACCGAAGAGCGCCGGTCATCCGGTGGCGTAGCGTTTACGGCGGGAGAGGTGAACGAATGCGTGTGTTGTAGGTCTATCTGTCGTTGTTCACTGGTCTCAGGTTTCAATACGATTGGAAGCGCCCATACCTGCATGGGCATGTGCTGAGGGGTTTTGCCACACACGCCGTCCTGCGAGCGAAAATCGTGCTGACAGCGCCACAATCGGTTCACGAAGGGATGGCCCGTAAGGGTTAGCTAATTTCGTCCAGCCAGCGACCTATCAATATCTACCAGCATTCCGGTCGGCAGCCACTTTTGCCCTTCCCGAGTCCCTTTAACATTGAAGAGAACATTCACGCGCCTTTTAACTCAAGCTACATTGAGCCTTGCTGTTTACGTACCAAGAAAGGATACCCAAGCACGAAACCAGCAGATCGAAGAGGTGTACTTGTATTTCGCTTAAGCAACTATTTTCGTTATCGCTTGAAAACACACTGGACAACGTTTGGCACCGAAAGATCACGGCCCAGGCGAACCAAAACGTACGCACGATGAGTTCAAAAACGCAGATCCAACCCGTCAACACGAAACAACGACACCCGCTCTGTGATCAACCGAAGCTCCTAGAGAAGCTATTGAACACCTTCCGAAAACATCGGCCCTGGACAATGCTATGTAATCCATACGCCCAAAACAGTTTGTCTCGTTATTTCTTACGTTTTCCTCTTCGAGATTCTCTTTCCTGACAACGCACCAATGACGCCGGAAAATTCCATTCAAACAGCCGGGTGACCTTGCGGTGCGAGTCAGCAGCCGTGAGAACCAACACCAACAACACCACAGCCGGGGCTCCATCATCGACGGTCGCAACCGCCAAAATATTGGTGGTGCGGTGGACAGACTAGACCTTGGTTTGGGATCTCTCGCGATTGATCCTGATGGTCCGGTAGCAACAGATGATCCAGACGTTTGGCCGCCACCGACCCCGGATCCTTCACGCGGCGGAGCGGTGCTACATCAAGGTGCCACTTGTTGGAGGTATTGCCTTGCTCGCATTTCGCTCGTTAGTCTCCAACCGAACACCTGGCTGATTGTTGTCACATTCATTTTTTTTTTTTCATAGTCGACGAGACAAAATATTTTCTGAGAGCACACCATCGTTTCTAACCCAAGACATGAAGGGCAAACAGCGGGAAAACTGCCAGATGCTATATCCAGGCCACAGCTTATCCCTTACGTGACTGAGTTGATCTGGTTTGTTTTGCCTCCTCCTCGAGAACTGGCTCTTGGAATGCTGCAAAGTATGACACATTTGTAGTACACAGAATCGGTCGCCGCGATGGTCTAGTGGTAACGTCGATACCGCTAGTTGCAAAGTCGAAAAAGCTCTCGTGAGTACCACACTTCGACGTTAGCACCGTCGACGAGGGAGAGGGGCGGCCGGACCCTTCTCGCGAAGAAAAACAAAATTCAGCACGCTCCGCAGGAGGAAGGTGGGGCACGAAAATAAATATAAAGAGAACGAAAAATCCCGGGTGTTAACCCCCTCCTGGGTGACCCTGAATGGTTGCAGTTGTACGAAAAAATACAATGAAAAGTGTAGTACAAGTCTCACCAGGAAAATGGGAGAACTTTCGCCATAATAATTAGGACGAAAACACACACACAATCAATCGCGAAGGTGAACATTCACGAATCACGGCGGCACGGGTGATAGAGCAACGAGGGGAACGCTCGTTTGTGTTTTCGACCTTTTTGCAGACAACGTAATCGGAACTGCAATCGGAACTGGGTAGAGATTTCTACAGATGAGAAAGAAAAAATCAAACCGTGAGGAACCCCGGAACCTGTCGCATATTCTCGTCCACGTTGATTCCCGCCGCAGCGGGAGCGGCTGCCGGCGGTGGTCCAGGCTCAGGCCTATCCCCAGGGCCACGATTTGGCGGCGGGGTTGCGTCGTCAAAGTTGGTGCGGAGAGAAGTCGCCGCGGCTGCCCTGGCATCGGATATGGCGCGGCAACAGCTGCCAGCCTGGGCGAGAGCCGGCACGCCGGCGGCCGGCAACGGCTCCCGTGCTGGCTCCGGAAGGGAGAGGAGGGGTAGCAGCGGCGGCGGCGGCGGCGGCGGTGCGGGCGTAGGTGGTGGGTTACCCCGAAAAGATTCCGTCGTGCGAGGACGGATGGTGATCGGCGGGGCAGGGGGGGCGGGGGGCGGAGGAGGGGGGCAGATGGGCAACCGACGGAATAGCAGGGGTGAGTCTGATGGGGGAAACTCTCCCACAGGTCATGTGATGTCGTTGACACAAAGAGCCCGAGTGTCAGTACAGTTAGGCCGACACGTATAGGCAGGCCAACGGGGGCAAAGTTAGGTCATCGGGGCGGAGGAACTGCACATTTATTGCCGTCGATCCGCTGCTGGCTTGATCATTGGGAGCCGCTTGCCCAGAGTTTGCGTTTGTTACGTGAGAAAACAATGGGGCTTTCATACTGTAGTACCAGTACGGTCCACAACACACCCTGGAGACCTAGGATAGCTTCGAATTGTTCCGTATTATGTTTAATGAGGCTTCGGTGACGATGTGTTTCGTGGCCGCCGCGAGTCATGACTGTTTCTGACACCGGGTCGTGCTCGCTCAGACATTGGATATTGTTGCGCCCACAACACAAAAAAGGGGAACGGTTTGTGGTGCACGATACGGCAAGAGATTTGATGTTATGCTATTTCACGAAACTTATGAGCCATCTATCTTCCCGCCCCAACTATTGCGTCTTGCGACTGCAGATCAAGTAAAGGTGGACCCTAAAGCACGCCGAGAATCGAAGGACACGGGGGCAGCAGGGGCGGGGCCACGTCGGAGGAGGTCAAGCTTTGGTGGCGGGGTCGGAGGTACGGATTCCTACTAGCATCTCTCCTCTCTCCCTGAAAATTGTACCCTTATCGCGGGCAAGTTGCTCGAGGAGGATAGGAGGCAGCTCACCAGCGGGGGGTATACGAACTTCTTTTTTTTCCAGTCGGGTCTTGGTCCGGTCCACCTCTATTCTCCCAAGCAACCGTCTACTTACGGCTGGCTGTAAGGCCGCGTCCCGCCGTGTTAGGGTGGCGCAACATGCGCACACACGGTGTCTAATCGAAAGAAAATCTAGTCGACCTGCTTGGAATGAGCGTAAGGAGGCAGTGCGTGGAAACCGACTCGCAGTGGCGCGGGACTACGTAGGACAAAGGGTGGCTTCAAGGTCGCGAATCCAGGAGCATACCACAGCAGACGGAACAGCGGTTAATGCATGCCAGTGGTTAACGTCTGTGACCAGCTTGTGAATATCATCTCTTGGTGGCAATACGTGTGGAAGATGTTGGTATTCGACCGAACTTTGCAAGCCTAAGGTCAAGACTAATAATTGTGGGGATGTCAAGCAACTTGAGCTGTCATTGCCCAGCTCATCGTACCAGTTTTGAGCGGTCGTGCTTTAGGTTGGAACCTTAGAGCTCAAGGCATGGGCGATGTAAAACGCTACGTCTAGCAACAAGAGATATGCTACCCTAAGCCCTGTTCAGTACGTTGCCGGGAATTCCCACCAGCATGATACTGTAGATGTCCTCAGTTCCACGAGAGCAACAATTTTCTCGGCCGGAATATCGCCCCGGTGGTCTGGTTGGTATCTTCGAAACCTTCTAGAGGTCAGGTCAGGGGTTCGAATCCCGGCGTTAGCGACCTATTCTTGCAAAGTGAGTTTTTCTCTCGCTTCCGCTTCTGGCCTAGTGGATAGCGCTAGTTCGTGTGTACACAGAGGGAAGAGAGTGCTGAACTCTTCTCGCATTAAAAATCGAAGGCAAAGTACCGCAAGAGGGGAGGGTAGAGAGGGGCTCTTCTGTGTGACCACGGTTGGAGTAAACGGCACTAGTGCTGTGAGCGCTGATTTGAAGTGAAGACAAAAAAAAAATGTTTAGACGGAAAACATCTCTCCCGGACTGATGGCTCGAACTATCACACACTACACGTTCTCCACCGTGGCACACCATAAAGCCATTGCAGAAACAAATTACGCTAATCGCCCCCCGGTAAACGCGGTCGACAGGTGGTGCAGCAGGCGGGGCTGAGAGCCGAGTCGCCGGCAGCGTTGACCCGGCACGGGCGGCGGGCGGAGGCAGTAGGCGGCAGCAGCAGCAGCACGGGGCTGGTGCAGCGGCTCCAACGTCGGCTGGGCGGGCGGAGGGGCGGGAAGGGAGGAGAGGGTGGGCACCGGAGGCAAAGCGTCAGGGAAGCCCGCCGGCTGGTAAGGCTACAGAAAGCATGCCCTCACACCCTGAAAACATCCTGTTCATATGTCACGTGCTGTATATTCATTCCACTACTGCTTGACTGGTCACTGAGGGAGCCATCGCCTATTCTCCAACGGGATGGTATTTAGTGATGGAAATGAATGTTAGATACCAAATCGTTTACGCGTGTGAGCTGGATAGGTTTTATCATTTTTTGCTCAATCTCTACATGGTCGATTTTGAGTAACTTTCTTGCCACGGTAGTCTTGCTAGGAGCGGCATGACGTATCAATTAATCTGCGCTCTACAATGATATAGACCGACTGTACTTTAACGAGCTGCAGCTCTTCGCAAGCCTCAGCATTTTCCGCTCGACGCTCGCACACACCCCCATCAGTCACTGGGCCAGCGCAGCAACCGCGGTATTCGGATTTGGCGAGGGAAGAGGGCTGGGCAGACAGGGAGCTCATCGAAAGCCTTGGTGAGTAATTCCGCGAAAGTTTATTCTTTCCGATCGGATGCGCGGGGGTAGGGGTGCATGGAGGACAATAAACGGCGGTAGCGGTGAGAAAAAATATTCTCTGCTGGAAGATAGGCGGACGCGGGCAGCCAAGGGTTCGACAACCCGGGCTTGGGCTTTGCGGGAACACTTTTCTCCGTCGAATCCTTGTCCACGAACCCAGCCGATTCGAGATCCATTGAAGCTGTTCTGCTGAAACTAGCGTACCCACAATGAGCAGCCCGGCTCGCCCGATCCGAAAAAACTTAAAATCAGCACCCGCCCGTAGCTTCCTTGATAACTGTCGTTCTGATTGTGCGATGGTCTCTTCATAGGCCAAAGGTGTTTCCTCTCATCGGCCAGTCCGTGAGGAAAGTCGATGTATACAAAGGCCACTGCACCAAAGCTCGTCGCCATACATATACGAAGAGAATGGACGAGCACGAATCGAGCCTTAATCATCCCACTACATAATTTCCCCGTGGTGTCGCATTCACGCCTGCAGAGCGAGACATTGTGGAGCGGGGAGTGTCCGTAACCTGGGATCAAATCGCGGACCTGAAGGACGCCAAGCAGCTTCTTCAGGAGGCGGTGGTTCTTCCCCTGTGGATGCCCGACTACTTCAAGGGAATCCGCCGCCCCTGGAAAGGTAGTTGCCATACCCTACACTTGCACGTGCCCCATGACTGGGGATGGTGCGTCATGCGTACATGGCATTTCGCACCTCGTGCGCCGGAATAAAACGACGAAATATATAGTTGCTGTTTTTCATAGCGCACAGCAACATCGTGCTGATCTTTAGTTCGGCAATATGATAGAGTTGATGCGGTGAGTGCTGTGGCATCGCGCTGAGTAGCAAAGTTCCACTGTTGTGTTAGTGCTGCGCGGCAATAAAGTGGCAACGGGAAGCCACCTGGCATGTATCCCGGCGTCAGTGGATACTTTCCTCCATAGACGAGCTCACCGTCTCGGGAAAGTCGGGAGGACCACAGCTTGATGAGTCGTTGCCGCCACAACGCGCTCGTCCTTGACGTTTCGCCGTTGGCAGGGCTTGTCGCTCGCAGCCTCCAGTTGTTCCAAGGGAATTACAGATTATTCTACACATCTGCGGTGCGGAGGTTTGTCTCGACGGACAACTGTCCGAGAGGCCATCTGTGCCAAGCACTTATCTGCTAGGCAACTAACGGGTGAAAACGTTGCGCAAATACCAAAGTTGACTCGACCAGACTCCACAAACCATGTGATCAGTACTCTCAAGTGACGTCAGATCTCAAATTCGTTGATGGATGCTCGTTACGTGGTTCGAACGAGTTGTGCCTTTTTGCACTATGAACCAGTTGTCACTCTGTCGTAAAAATGTTGTGGTGACGATTGAAGAGACTATCCGACGCCACGAAGAGGTATTCCGATGTCTTGCGTGGGGGTCCAGCAAGATTAAAAGAGAGGCAGGCGTCATCGTGATCGGGAACGTTGCTCAACTACAGGACCGCCGGTAAACCGCTTGCCGCGCCCAAAAACAAAGTCGTCTTAAGCACAATTTTTCAGTCAAAGAACTCCCCCGCGAGTTCGGGATACGCGGCTGCAGCAGACGGGGAACTGAAGAGACCACACTTGGCCCCAGCCTTCGTTCCCACCTTAACGGAAGATACCATCAACGCGCGACACCGTTTCAGGCGTCTTGATGTTCGGCCCCCCCGGAACGGGGAAGACGATGCTCGCCAAGGCCGTCGCGGCCGAATGCAAGACCACGTTCTTCAACGTTAGCGCCTCTACGCTCGGCTCCAAGTACCGCGGAGAGTCCGAGAAGATGGTCCGCGTCCTGTTCGAGATGGCTCGCTACTACGCGCCAAGGTGAGACGAACCAATCCCGATCAGTTGCTCCACACGTAACAAACCGAGATACTCAAGTAAACCTGGGTTGAACGAGGGTGGCGGGATTTATCTGGTCGCCGAGCTGCGCACTCCGAACTGTAGACCTAACCTCACAACACCCTTCCCCTTCCCCCGGCACCCCCCTCCGAATTGAAACCCACACAATTTTACGCAATACCTCGAGCAGCACGATTTTCTTCGACGAGATCGACTCGTTGGCGGGATCAAGGGGCAGCGACGGTGAGCACGAGGCGAGTAGGCGCGTCAAGACCGAGCTGATGGTGCAAATGGACGGCGTTACAGGAGGGGGCGGCGGGGACGGGTCATCGCCAGGTGACCAAGGGTCCGATGAAGCCGGGGGTGGTGGGGGTGGGGGCGGCAGTGGGGATGGCGGTGGTGATGGAGCCTCAGGGCACGGGGGGGGCGCCAGCTCCAAGACCGTGATTGTGTTGGCGGCAACAAACACGCCGTGGTCGTTGGACGAAGCCCTGCGGAGGTACGGGCCTTCGAAACGATGTGACTTCGTGGTTGTTGTTGTTGTTGTTGTTGTTGTTGTTGTTGGTCATGGTGTACCAATACGGGAATCGCAACGACATCCTGCCGCATGCAGGCGAGTGCAAAGGTGTGTTTCATGGCTCCACTTTCTTTCTCTCGTGTTTCATGGCTCCACTTACTCTACCCACCCCCCTTCCTGTTCGAACCGGCCACTTGTTCTGCACTTTGCTGTCTGCTTCGGTACACATTGCTGTCTGTTTCGGCGTGTCGAAGACGACTAGAAAAGCGCATCTACATCCCGCTGCCGACCGAGGTTGGCCGCAAGGAGCTCTTCCGCATCAACCTTGGCGATGTCGAGGTACTCAAACATGGCAGTTCGTAGGCATACGCGACGTCGCACAGTAGTCCTCGGCGAGTTAGACCTGAAAGTGGGCGTAGCATCTCCACGGGCGCTTGGCCCTCGAAAAGGGACGTCTACTTTGTCTCCTTGTTTGGCGTGAAACTGTCGTGAACGTATGAAGTGGTAGTGACGGTAGTGTAGACGCTTTGGTCATTGTCCGATACTTCTTCCACGATAATTGCAACCGCTGCAGCACCATTCTGCGGAAACTACACAATACGACGACTTGTTGACCGTGCCCGAAAATACCGCCGCCGACCTGGCCCCGCCGTACCCTCAACAGGTCGACGACGACGTTGATCTAGACGCGTTGGCCGGTCTCACGGATGGTTACAGCGGTGCGGACGTCGCCATAGTCTGCCGCGACGCCGCCATGATGTCGGTGAGGAGGGTAATGAAGGGGGCCCTCGAAAGGGGGCTTTCCGGACCGGAGATACAGAAGCACGTCATGGAAATGAAGGACGAACTCGCGGCCGCTGTCACCATGGAAGACTTCCGATCGTCTTTGCGCAAGGTGGGTGTGAACTGCATACGGCGGTACGTGGTACTGCTGCGGCTGCAGTTGTGGAGATTGTTGTCCGCGTGGGAACTCCATTCCGGGCAATGACAGCGCTGATCGCAGGGATGGCAACCCTGGGGGGACGTGTTCGTGGCTGCAAAGCCAGACCGGACACGGGCAATAACTTTTGTTGAGAAGCACGATGACCGATGACCACTAGACCACTAGTCAGCGCTGACTAGTGGTCTAGTGATCATCGTGTTTCTCAACAGAGATCTTCCTTTTTCCGCATGTCTTAGCCAACGTCAACGCTACCGAACGCATTTTTTCGATGATTGGTTCATATGTGTTGCAACTTCTTCGTTCTGAACGCACTCTACATCCATCGGTCGCATACTGAGATGAATGCTCGGCGGATAATTCTCAGCGAATACGTCTTGGCGAATGAGCACAAAAGAACAACTGCCTATTGAGGAACTCCTATAGAGAAGCCCAAGTCCTGTGAAAACAATGGCCTTGCCTTCTGAAATATGCCGTAGAAGGCATTTTACTACACATTATCCCGCGGGTACTACGATGCCCTGATCGGTCACGACTCTTAAGTCACGCAAAATTCACAACCACCCTTATCTCTTGACTATTCTTCCAAACTCCCAACCCCACAGGTGTCCAAGTCAGTGGGGCAAGCGGATCTCGACAAGTACGACGAGTGGATGAAAGAGTTCGGATCAGCTTAGTTTTTGTCTAGTCAACGAACCAGGCAACCGACCGACGCAAGACCTCTAGCTCTCACCCAAAGTGAAAGGAGACGGCTACAGGCCCTTTTTGGTACAGTGGGTATGTGGGCGTTTTTCCAAATGAAAATGCACTCGGTGCAGTTCGCGCCAGTTGCCAGCACCACAAGGAATTAGCTGAAAAAACGTATACGATAGCGCTTTCTTGAGGTTCAATGGATAGAAGTTGTGAGTGTGGACTATCCTCGTGGATATCGCCGGTCGAAAAGAGACATTATTCTTCGTATCAAAGAAACCGTCACCGGCGGTGCATGTACCGGTAAGACGAATAAGGTATATACATACCTCCGGGAAAGCGATGGAGGCTTACCGCTTGTCTCCGCCCTTGGATGTATGCCCTGTTTTGGACAACTATACACCGGACACACCAGGGCGTTGACGCCAACTTGTTCCTCGAAGGTAGGCTCGCTCTTGGGTGTTCGTCCCCTTCTGGCAAAAACTCTCGTACTGGATGGCACCAAATAGTAAATATTTGCACACTACGAAGACACCCAGTGAGAGGGAGTCGAGAGGTATCATTTGAAAACTACACTTCAAATTGATGCCGTGCTTTCGCGCACTCCCTCAAACCGCCTATTCCTAAGCTCCGAGAACCGCCCCGATGGGAAACGCAAGGTCTAGTTGCTGTTTTTGGCCCACTTGTCGGGGACTCTCACGGTTTGGTTGTTTGGCATGAAGCATGATCAACCTTGTCGGTTCGGCGAAACCTTCTGCAGCGGGTACCCGAAAACGTGTGCGTGCGGTGCCGTGCTGGAGATGTTCCGTTGTGGGTCCGTTGTTGTTGCAATGCTCGTTGAAATCGATTCGTGCCGTCAACACTAATCCTCCATATACTTCGTACGGTGGCCCTGCTTGGTCAGGGCGGTGGTGAACATACAAACGCCATAAGTCAATACCGCCAAAGCCAATCACACTGGACGTGTCTCAGGATCATAAACCTGGTACTTCGCGGGGCCAACCATAAGTCGATTGGCAAGGTGCGGGTCGACACTTCGCATGATATCGCTTGGCGAAACCGAGAGGCGAAAAAGATGTTGCGAATCGACACTTTTAGGCTGAAAACATGCTTGAAACATTCTTCGCATAAACCCTGCCTGACAACACTTACATCGCGAGGCCGCAATTGTACCACGGGGAATTCGATTGGCTGACCCCCTCACTTGCCCCCACTCCCTGACCCAAAAGCCTTGAAGGACAACATGTCTAAAATATCTACTTCTATTAACACCGCTCCCGAACGTTGAGCGATTCCTACGTCTACACAATCTAGACAACAGAGCCGGATACGGATTGTCGCGCCGGTCTATCCCCCATCCTTTACGTATGCCCACTTCCGGAACTGAATCTGCCATACACACAACGCATACAACATACAACACATTGAAGTGATTCTGGCCGTGATCAGCTGTGTAGCTGGTTCTGCAAACTCTTGGCCTCCCTAGGTCACAAAAAACGAAAAGAATGAATATAACATCAACTATTATCGCAATAACTTGATCATGGGCACAAACTTCCATTGAAATCAACCAAGGCGCACACACATCAACAAGATGATGTCCGTCACATATTCCTGTTCGAAAGGGTCGCTGCACTACAAGTTCGCCGTGGGCGGAAAGCAGTGGCTTGATTTCTGTCCCGCTGTCAAACCAAACAACATGAACCCAACGATGGCACACATCTCGCTAGAAGATAAAAACAAACTGGTAAGGCAGGCAAAATCAAGCCAATACAAAAACGACCAGTCGGAGGAAATATTGGCTGCTACATATCATGCCGACAGTCGAGAAGCAAGGAGAACAGGGTTTCGCCGTGAAGCAGCTTGTGTGACGCAAATCTGCTGCAACCGCCCAAAGAAAACACACGACACAAGGGCACGTCGTTTCCCCACCGCCGGACGAGCCACGCCGAAGCATCAAGCTCCGTTGCCATCCTTATTGCCAGGGCAGCAAAAACGCACACAGCCTAGAAAAGCTCCACAAGATCTGAAAAACACATCGCCACGCTCCTACTGATCGTGCCACAATCGTCACAGCGCAGGCATGAACGACCAAGCTCGGAGTTGTTTCACCGCATAGACACCAAAGCAAACACAGGAACAAGCGGAGACATAACCTTGGTCCACTCTCGGATTGTCCTCCAGAAGACCATCTATTTAGAACCCTTTCCTAGTACCCTCCCGCGCCTAACGATGTAGAAGCCAAACGTTCCAGCCCGTGAACGCATTCTTCGTTCGCGTTCATAAGTGCAAAAAATCGGGAGTGATCGCCCGTAATGACTTGTCGTACCCCTGAGACACCCACCAACACAACAATCAACAGTGGCATCGTTGCCGTTCGACCACAAACACCCAACCCTCCCGTCTCCCACTCAGAAATGTACACACGCGTTGTGCTTGGTGTAGCGAGTTATCCCCCCTGTACAAGCGGCCGAACCTTGTTCGGATTCTCCGGCGAGGGGGGCGCGGACAACACAGGTCTATTGTCGCGCCCATCCACCCTTCCAACACACGCCTATCGGTTTTCACGACGACAAACCCTCATGATGTGTCGTCAGCGCCAATCGATCCCAACAAACAACAACCAACCCCCCCCGAAAAGAACCACGACGTATGATTTAGCATCTTCCTCTTTCCATCACAGCAATACCCACCCGAGGGAGTGATCCAACCCGATCTGGTCACTCGATTGACCTACCTACTTCGAGACTACACACCACCACAGCAGTCGTCGAAACACAGGTAGCTCAGAGTACCGCGCCAGTTCTCAGTTACACCTCTTCACTGATCCTCGCAAGGCCCCGGGAGTCACGCAAGTCGAGTGGGTAACTGACTGACTCGGTCACCGAACACAGCATCAGGGTGGAACGAACGCCTCGTGGGTCTCCCCTCGGACATTACCGTCTCAACCTTGGTCCATCCAACATCATCATCACTACGAGAATCACCTCCAACAACACCTTCTACACCGTCAGGCAGGAAAAACGAGCCAACGTCAAGACACCATATACATACAACACGACTCCCTCTTTTGTGTCGAGGCCAAGCATTCTTGAGAGCTGGTCATCACTTCAGAAGCAAAGGGGACCCCTGTACTCCCTCACCATTTCCTCTGGCACACCATACACATTTAAATATACCCCGCGTGTGCGTCAGCCCCTTGACAGCAATATATCCTCAGACTCTTGTGTGAGATACTTTTGCCAGACCAGGTGCTTATTATTGCCTTCGTCATCTGCTGCACGATTTTTCCCACAAAAGGGCGGCTGTGACTCCAGGGGGAAATCCCACGGAGGCTTCTCAGCAGTAGGGTAATCGTATAAAGAGCAGGTTTCTAGAATACGACCGCTTTCTCTACTGATCAGGCGGCTCGCTGCTGTTGCTATGTGTGGTAGCCGACGCTTGAGACGGGGGCGTAATCGGCGGGGTGACGGGGCTGGCCTCGTTGTTGCTATCGCCGCCGTCCTTGCGGCTGGTGTTGCTGCGCTTGGGCGGGGTGAAGCACTGGTTTAGCCGTGGCGGGGGTCTCGACTGCAGACGCACGTAGCCGAGACAAAGGGTGTGTGGGTGGCGGGGGGGGGTGAAGCCGGTTCAGGATTTCTTAGATTTGAGGCGGATCGGCGTCGTATTGCTTCCACCGTTCACAAACGCGATGTTTTCGTTGTGGACCGCGACAAGAGTCTTAGGCAACGTTTACAGGCGGAATTCGACCGTCGTACGGTCGATCCCAAAATATATGCCAACCAAGCAGTAGATCCCCCAGTCATGAACGATTTGGACATTTCTGCGAGTGCGCAACCCTTCGTCGAAAGACGCGTCCCGAGCGCTGGAAAGGTGGCCGCAATCGACGTGGTTGTCAGATGCAATGGCGAAGCGAAGCCGTTCTCCAGCTCAATACAAAATTCTGGCTTCAACACTGCTTGCGGGCGTGGAGATTTTAACTGCCTGTGAGGTCTCGTGCTGATTCCATGGCAAATAGTGATTCGTGCGATGAGCATCGGCGGCGACAAAGCATGTGGCACCATGTCTCTCAACCAAAACAAATCAGAGGGGCATCCGGAGAAAACGTTTTGGTGCCTCTTATCAAAATTCCGGGTCCTGTTTCGTATTGTTTTTTCATGGCGAAGCAACGCGTGTGTCGTGCATAACCTCAGGTTGGTTAGGGCTTAGTAAACACAAGAGGAGCGCCAAAAGAGGAGGAAGAAAGACTGAAACGCGCAACTAAAGACCGTACACAACCAAAATCTGAACAAGTGAAATAAATAAACATGCCGACTTGAGGGAGTGGGACTTACCAACCGCAGCGACTCGTGGTTGGTGCGAGTGAGCCACTGGTACTCCACCCAGGTCATGTCTTCTTCGTCGTGGTCGTGGAAGCGGTCCGTGCTGCCCAGCCTAGTCCGGCACGAATGGAACGGCTCGGCAAACCTGGTGACACAAGGAGCAATGGCGACAGGGTTGAGAAAGTTACAACATATGCGTATGCATTCATCAAAATGATGGTGCGCTAGGAAGATTGTTCGCTAGAGAGTGAATGAGAATAGTAGAGGAGGGCTAGCCGCTGCATCACACAAGCGCTCTTGCAAGCATTCTCGCATGTTGCACAGAGTGATGTGCGTGGTCCACTTAGTATCAAGGTGTTCTAAACAGTTTCTGTCGACGTGGGGAAGCCAGCTTGGTATGCGGCAACTCAACAATGAACGCTCCATGGCTTCCTTGGGCGACCCCAAGAAATCGAAACACATGGAAGTCCTCTGCATGAACCGAACCTTTGCCGTTTTTTTTCTTATCTGAACATGGTGGTGTTCGATGTGTCTCGTGGATTGAAAATTAAGCGCATCGTCGTGGACACCCACGACAAAGAGGGGACGAGATCACTGAATCCTTCTCGTGTCAAAAATTGAATATTGACGGGAAGAACCGCTGGAGGGAAGGTGGGCACAGGAAAAACCCAAGTGTCGGCCTCCCATTTGTGTAACCCCCGGGGGCTAACTCCCATCTGTATGACCCCGGCTGGCGTGCCAAACCCATCCTGGAAGGTGTAAACTCGCGCCCAACAGGTCACACACGCAGCTTCCGAGTGCATGCGATAGGCTCTGCTTTGCGCTGGGGTTTTCTACCCTACCCTGTGCCCTTCATGTGGCTATACTGGTGATACTTGTAGCCTCCGCTTTTCGTTGGTGGGGGACTTGTGACGAAAATTATTGGCCACCGAAATTCATTTGTGCCTGTCGATCTTAATATGAAGAAGGCGAGAAGACATGCAGGTTGGCTTGGTTTTCTAAAAGCCGATATTTTCCACTCCTGCTATTTTCTGCACTGGAGAGTAGTGACACATTCCTCAGTGGCAGGTTTGTCGGGAGCGACGCCAACCGTATCCTGCTCCGCTTCGAAACCCGCATGTGTGTGGTGATCACAGAACATCAACAGGTTCATCCATCCCCCGTCCACTTCGTTCATTGCTGCTGTTACGGGATTTGAATGTGTAGGAAATTACCCACATGCCCAGAGAATAGGGCAGGGGACAAGAACTTTGTAGCCCCGTGAGAGGGAGCTGGCCTGCCCCGACATGCCCAGTCTACCACAGAGAGCAAGGAAACAGCATGCACTGCTATCCAAAGAGATGAATAAGTGAGTCTTCACCAGGGTCTTCAGGGATTGCTACGCTCGTCAATACCATTACACTGCCCCCCCGCTGCAAAGAATCGCTATCAGCAAGCTTCCGCTGCCTATCATGCCATGCTGGTTCGGGCTCTGACGGCACGACTGCCGTCTCGTGGGTTTTACAGTCCCGTCTGACACGTTGCACAACCCATCTCAAGCGTGGTGCACTGCCTGTAACTTCTGGACCAAGACCGACTGCTTGTTACCGTGGCGGTAGATGCTCTCTACACCCACCTCACCAGGACCTTTGCAACGTGTAATTTTTGTATGCATGTGGCGACAAGTCCGCCCAAATAACTCGCCACCAATGGATCTGCAGCTGGGCTTTTAGTAGTAGGACGCGGGCTTGGCAGTCGGAGATTGCCCGTCTCCCCCGTGCAAGCATTCGCATAGCGAAGAGTGCCCGTCTGCCCCGACTGTGCACGCCGAAATCTTGGTCCATGGATCTCAACTGAACCTCGATGCTCGCACATAATCAGTAGATACAGAAAATGCAGCGGCGGTAACTACCGCTGGTGAAAGGTGGGGACACGAATCCAGTACAATTGTGGTGCAACAAGAGAAATTGGTCCGCGGGGACAACATTTTTCGGCAGCACAAAGAATAGAGTGAAACAATGAAGCACAGGCATGGCCCCTCCGTGTGTCAGAGAGCACTCCTTCGTGTTTGTGGATCGAACGGGGCCGCCACTACTTATAAATGAATATGCATATCATGTGCATACGATAGACACATGCAAGCGCCCTTTCCCGCCCGCGGAAAAGCGAAGTGGACGGCAATTTTGGGCCCTGCTCTGAACTTGAAATACTGCATGTAGGTCATCCTCCAAGCCATGTGGAACTGAAAAACCAGAGGAGAATGTTTTTTCTCCCTCAAGATGTGCCAACTCTCTGGTGACCTAGCCACACGCCTGCTAACCTCCTTCCTATGTACCAGTCTGTGTTCACATGCATTTTGGGGGTTGAAGAGCACATGCCAGACTCCCCTATGAACAAAGTCCACAGAATGTTTGATTCACCCGGGCGGGGGCGGGGGTTGGCCGGCTCTCGCCTCTCTGCCTCTCTGTTCTCCATGCGACCATCGTGCGGAACAAAAATTGGTGACCGATACATACATGTCGGCTCTTGCGCATCGGACCGTGCTAGCACCCCCCGGTTCGGCAGCGCTCTTGGACCGCACCGCGTGTGGCTATCTATGTGTGGTGTGCTCGCCGTACTACTGCTGTACACAGCAGCCGGCAGCAGCCGGTACGGTGGGCAGCACCAGGCGCTGTGCGGCGCGCGTTTGAAATTTGGTTCTTGCGTGCGTGTTGCAATAAAGCAACCTACAGCAACACTCATCGGACACCCCATCCAGAGACCCCACGCTCGACGCAAAAAACATGATGTCGCTCCTGCTTGATTTCGGTCGGGGGTAATAAACCAGGCACTACATAGCTCCTGTTTTCTCTGTTGGTGTATGCGCCGGGACATGCTACTACACTATAGACTGTGCAGACATCTGCATATTTCGGATTTCAACCAGGATCCAGAGCAACAACGTCACACTTCGCGGCCCCCCGTGAGCGTACCATTCGACCAGAGTTTTCCAAGCGCCACCCAGGGTCGCTCCTCGACCGCAGCCTCGACTTCCGTCCATATCCCTCGGCGTAAGCGCGCTTCGTTAGGAGTGTTAGATCGATGTACCTGCGTTCAGGAAAGGAAGCAGCGCGCCGGTCTGGTATCCGGTGTTCCGCCCCGCCTAGTTCCGCCAGATTAATCCTTGGTTCTTTTGTCATTGTCATCTGCCCGAGAAATCCAATCGACCAATCAAAAGACCGAACCTTCTTCATTCACGGGGCCCCTGGGTTGGGGGGGGCGCGGATGAGATTCGACTTGAGAGCGCTCACCACAGGCAGGGCAGGAGGTGGACTGCTACTGCTCAGTGCTGTTCTGTGCTCTGTGCTGCTGTGTCCTTGCCCCAGCTGTGCCATATTCTCTCTCTCGCCCTCTCGAGGAGGCTCGAGTGACATCCAACCGGTGAGATTTGGTTCTTCATGATTTTGTGAGCACAGGAAATTGTGAAGAGACGTTTGTCGCTGCTGTCGCCAATGTTCCACAATTGGACCGAACCCTATGTGATGCAACAGCGCGGACTCTAGACAAACCACAGGTGCACATGTGCACACCAAGTACCTCCCTCCCTCCGTTTCCAGCACTAGGAATCCTGGTACGAGGCATGAAGGGATCGGGGTTGTGGAATCATTGATCGTTCTTCCTCCCAACGCCAACAGCTGCGCCTTCCAGTGGAGGCGCGGCGGGGAAATGAATGATGGATGTCATGAACCAAACGCCCACAACCGCCGTAACCCTACACTCTGCGTCTACCAATCACCCCACAGCTTTTGTTTCGCTGCGTGTGTACAACATAGATCACTCTACGCTGTTGGAATAAGCAACATATATACGTGCTCAGGGCTGCGGGCTAGACCGCGGGCCTACAGAGTATCGATTCCAATCGTAGCTTGAGAGAGTCTCACCGCAGAAGTTGTATCTACAGCAGGGCGTTGTATACCCATGATTCAAGCAAGGCATCCTATGGTACCGCCGTTTGTGGCCGTTGTTGTTTTCCAATGACATGTTTCATCACCCTTCACTCTGCCGACCGTTTGTCATCTCCCTCGCACCGCACCGTATGCATCCGTCACCACAAGGGTGCACAGAATCCCCTCGGCTTTCTGCTGTGCGGCTTGGAGGGTCGAGCGCGGTATTGTATATCTGCGGCGCCACCTGCGGTAACTTGGTTCGCCGGCAGGGAAGCCGTGAAAGCAAAAGATCACGTGCGGCGGCACCGTACACGCACGCCCGGTTGACATAGGACACCGCCAAAAGAGGCGCGAGCGGCAGAACGACAAAAGCAGAAGCATCCAACGGTGCACCGCAAGTAAGTGTGGCCGCCCAACGTCATGCGGCCGGTGGGGGCTACGACTGTAGACTCCAGCGTGATGGACGTCGCAGCGGATAGCGTTGGCGATGGGGCTGCCGCGGCGGCAGCTGGCGTGGAGATGGTGGAGAACGACAGGGATGGGGTGGAGGAATTTTACGGCGAGGGAGAGGTTAGCTCCCAGTGTTGCGGGAGGCTTTCGCCCACGGCTGTCGTTTACATGTCGGCCTTCGTCTCCTCTCTGACTTCCGTTCTTCTGGGCTACGGTGAGTGCGCGCACGGGCTCCTGATGCCAGGAGTTGGTTTCTTGGCGGCAGGGATAAAATCGGTCCGGACGGTTTGCAGCGAGCACTGTTGTTTTCCCCGATGGCTCAACCCGTTCACTGGATAGGCCTCCATTCGTCGCGTCGGCGTGTAGATACAATATTTCAGGAGTTTCCGCATCCAAGTCATGGCTCCGGTCTTCAGCTGTGATAGCATCTTGCTGCTTTTCGCGTAGCCGCTCCCCGCTCGTGTGTGCCCACGCCAAACCGTTTGGTTTCATCCCGACTCGATCCCCGTCGAAATCATCGTGCGGCAGACGTCGGAGTGATATCCGGGGCCATCAAGTACATCCAGGAGGACTTCGGGCTCAGCACCCTCCAAAAGGCGAGTGCAAAAGAAGCGACGAGCATCTACATATCGAATAGATAGCTTCTCTGTTCCTGCGGCGTGTCGTTAGTATTTTGCCTGACTCCGGCCAAGCTGTCGAAGAAAACGGCCGTCTCCCTGTGGCGTCGCCATACGCCCGGCCTCTCGTATGTCGAAGACTGCTGAGCGTTGCCACGGATTAGTCAGTGCCGTGGAAGGTGTTGGGCTGAGCAACACGACGGATTAATCAGTGTTCTTGGAAGGTGTTGGGTGTAGCTAAAGAGTGTCTCTTTGCAGTTGGGAGCAGTAACCGAAGCGACCGCAGCGATGCCGGTGCCTTGCCGACTTGTTCCACAGGGAGTCATTGTGTCGTCGCTAAACCTGGTGGCAGCGGGAGGGGGCCTCGTCGCGGGCAGCGTCTCAGACACCCTGGGCAGGAAGCGCTCCATCGCCGCCGCGTGCCTGGTGTTCATCACCGGGAGCATCATCAAGATCGCCGCTCAATCTTTCGGGTGAGCCTCGACGGAACGACCCGAGCGTGGCCATGTTATACCGCCTTTTTTTCCTCCGCCAGAGAGTCTCTACCTTTGGCTTGACGGCTGTTTGGGGCGGATCTACTGTAGTTCCCGCGGAACTGGCCTGCGGGGGGTTGTTCCCGGCCCCGTGTTGCCGCTCACATTCTTTCTTTCGGCATGTGTTTGGAGCAACAGTCCTGACGTCGTTCATGCCCTTTGTCTCGCCCTACCCTCTTTAACATTTTTATTGAGAGTAGTCATGGCGAACGTTGTTTTTGGTACGAAGAGGGAACTAAAGCGCCTCCAGCAATCTTCACCGTCCCAGAGCTTGTTTCGTTGTCAGGCCCAAAACTCACCACTTTGCACATAACACGATGTTTATCTAGTTTTGGTGTTGTTTTGCGGGATTTGTGGTGATTTTCCGTCGGTGTGGTTGGCGTGCCCGCCTCCCTCCCATGCCTTCGAAACCTGCAATGTAGAACGATCCAATGTGCTTGTTCGATCTCTTATTGCCGTCGGCCCCCTCCCCCTGCCCAGCCCGGATCCAACTCTCTTGCCACATATATATCTACGACAATCCTGCTCTTATCTTCTGGTTTTGCAGGGTCCTCCTGCTGGGCCGCATCGTCACCGGTATCGGAGTGGGCTGCGGGTTCGTGGTAGCGCCGGTGTACATCGCCGAGATCACACCACCGCATATCCGAGGACGGTTAACGTCTCTAACAGGTGAAGGGATTGGTTGTTGGAGAGGCGAGAGGTGATAGGGGTGGGGTGGCGTCATTCTGCGGTTGCGACAGCTCGCGGGTGTTGACCGTTACTCTCCGTTGAGGTGGGATCATCAGTGTGGTTTGCGCAGAATTTTGGAAGGGTAACGTTCGTACATCTGTGCTATGCTACCCACTATTTCTTGATGCCACCCCTGTTCCTCTTGACGGGGCACCATCTTGTCGCAGCGCAGTTCCCCTCGAAGTTGATCATGCTGCTGTAGTTTGTCTTTGATAAAGGCTGCACTTGAGCTCCGGGTAGATACTGACTTTCCCCGTGCGAACATTTTTCTCGATCGTTCATGGCTTTCCGTCCCCGATTCCTTGAGCCTTATCTCTGTTTTCGCTCTCCTCCGTCTCTTGCTGCTACGATCCCCTCGTGTCATTTTCGGCCCTGTGTCGCGATGGTTTCTGGGCGATGAGCAGATATCTCCATCAACATGGGCATCGTCATCGGGTACCTGGTTGCATTCGGCGTTGCCTCCACCGTTGAAGACGACAGTAAGCACCGACATCTCTTAATCGCACCATGTTTTTTTGTTTTGTTTCTATTTTCTGGCGCTTGGTAGCATCGCGCGACTATTCCATGCCCTTGGCATGCGTACGTCTCATATAAGAAATTGATGGAAGGATTCGAGCATATCGAAGTCTTCACTAAGGTTGGAGTACTTGCGGTTGCTACACGCTTACGGTTGGCAGCGGCCATGATGGCAACCTCTCTTTTGCTTAATATTTCTTCCTTTCCTGGCCTTTTTTTTAATGTTCCTGTTTCTCTCTCATGCAGTCGCTCTCCCCAAAGACCTAGTCAATAGGTGTTGTGGTACGTCACGTCGTGAATTTCGGGTGTATGATTTTCTTTGCCACTCCTGCTTATCGAAGCGCACCTCTCTTCCAAATGTCTGGCCGTTACTGAACCGCTTTCCAATATCTGTGCTCTCTGTCTCTCTGTCTCTCTCTCTCTCTCTCTCTCTCTCTCTTTCTCCCTCCCTCTCCCTGTCGCTCGCCCAAACGATTACTCCGCCGGTATACAAACGTACGGTAAGGCGGTAAGTGGAGGACAATGCTCGGCATTTCCATCGTGCCCCCGTTCATCATCCTCTCCAGCCTGTGTCTCTTGCCGGAGTCCCCTCGCTGGCTGCTGGGGAAAGGCCGGGAGGTTGAAGCCTTCGCGGTGCTGTGCACGGTGAGAATAACACAAAACGAATAAGCAGAGAAACAGATAAGACAGAGCGGGAACACAGAGAGAGGGGTGGGGAGGAAGATACAGACAGGCTGACGGCCAGGCAGGCAGAGAGGGAAACAGAGAGGGGGGGGGGGGGCAGGCAGAGAGAGGGATAAAAGCGCGATTCCAGTGGAGAAGGAAGAAAAGCGAGGCGGGGGACGGGTAGGAGCAGGGAGCTGAGAATAGAGAACAAACCCGGGGGCTCTACCAACGAGTGTTTGTTTGCACAAACCCAGCCTGTTTTGTTTTGCATTGTCAAGCAAAAGTCGATACCTCTACTGATCCGGACGTAGGTGTATATGAACTAATAGCGGTGTCTATCTAGGCTAGCTTAAGGCACAAACTTACGTCTACAAGAGTGTGACGAGCGTTATCTGGCGTACCAAGCGCTATCTGTATGTATGGGTCCCCTGTTTTTAGGGGTTGTCTTTCCCTTGGTTTGCCTCTTGGCTCCTCACGACCGACCCGCCCCTCAGATTGTTCCAACGGGAGACGCAGCGAAACGAGAGCTGGCCGAGATGAAGACGATCGCGGGAGAAGAAGACAGCGCGAAAAGTGAGACGCACGTTTTTTGTTTTGCAGAGAAAACGAGCGTTTTCCCCCCCGTGACGGTGCTTTGCTTGTGATCGCGGCTGACGGAATCCGGTACTTTGTCTATTCCCTGCCCAAAACCACCGAAAACGAAACAGCATGCTGTCCCTATGTTCAAGAGCATAAACAATGCGGGTCGCCCTGTACAAGGCCGTTGCACACACAGATGGGATACTTACTGTCAAGTTGTCTCATTTTCTGAATAGTACCGGGTGCCCGATACAAACGCCTAGGCGGTAGATATATGCCATGGTGTATTCAGACGAAAACGCCCCCGCACGCCGTGACGTCATTATGTTCTTCTGTACTACTGTACCGCAATGTGTATGCGCCAGTTTACCTTTGTCGCAGCCGTAGTTCGCATGACTTTGACGGAACAAGCTGCAAGATGTTAACGTTCTGACTTTTGTGCGTGATGCGCTCCGTGGTTGGTGCTTGCTTGTCTTGACACCCGGCCCTTGAGGGCTGCCTGATTTTTGCGCGGAGCTTGGTAGCCGTGTGTTTTGAACCGATCTCTAAGCGTAATGCCAAGACCCCACTTGCTTGCTCCGGCCTATTGTGTCAATCGTTTCTATTTTTGACATGTCCGTTTGCTTGTTTTGGCGGCGGCGACCACTGTAACAACCTTGGGGTGTCAACAACAACGAATCACACCACTGCAACAACAACGATGATGACAACCATCTCCGACGAACCAACCCAACCCACAAAGGTTCGTGGAGCGAGCTGGTGTGCACCACATCTCCTGCGCTCAAGTCGACCGTGCTCCTGGGTCTGGGACTGGGTATCGCCCAACAGGCTAGCGGATCGGAGGCCGCGGTGTACTACTCGCCCTCTGTTCTCTCCGACGCTGGGTAAGATCATTGGATGGACATGAGTTTACAGCAGTATCGTCAGTTGTTGTTGGTGTTTGTTGTGTTTTTTTCTATGTAAAGTTTGTGTCAGCTGTTTATTGCTGCTGTGGTTGGTGTTGCTGTTGGTGGTGGTGGCGGTGGTTGTGATGGTAAATTGTGTCTTCTGTCGCTGGGGGTGTTGACGGTGTCGTGGTTGCTCCCGCCTTCACGCCGATCCCTGGCTATCTTGGAGTGCACACGGGCGTCATACTGTTGTTTCACTGTTTTGATAGCGTGGTATCTCTCCTACTGTGGCAGCTCTCGTTGCTGTTGCTACCACGTGTTGTATCGGGCGGAGCCGTTTGCTGCATGACTGTTGCCACTGGCAATGCTGCCTTACCGTTTTCGAAAGTTAGATCTAATTGTTCATCTTCTGTTTTTTTGCTCCCACGTGCCACGAAGTGTGTCCGAATGGTAAAGCCGACACCTTACAGGCTGGAGATAAGTCGGTCGTTCCCTGTGAACCTAACCTAGCTGCCACCCCCGCTACCCGCCGCGCCCATTTGATCGACATGACGTCGCCTCATCTTCCACCTGGGTTGGGTTTGGTGACCGGGTCGGATGGGACGGCGCGACTGCGGCCTGATTTCTGATTGGTTGGCTGGATTCGCGTGCAGGCTCACATCGGACTCGGCTGAGCTGGGAGGAAACATCCTGGTATGACCTTGCTGTGTTAACGAACACGGATCCCGATGCAGCTCGTCGTTTTGGTAGCGTCTTTGATGACATGTTGGCGTCTTTGGGCAGGCTTCACTACTTGCGCGTGCTGGGCGCCATGATGCCAGTTCTGCCGTTAGCGAAAACTGGCCCCCAGTTCTACCCGATTTGTTCGGTTGCCTTTGCCCAACGCCTCAATCATTTATTTTCGCTAGCTAGCGCTCGTGTCGGCTTTTTTCTCCTTCAGCTCGTCGAACGTGACTCTCGGAAAAACAACCGTACTTAAAGCCGTTCGAAGTCCATAGCAGTTGACGATGATGTGATGCTGGCTCGGTGGACTTTCTCGGTGGATGCACAAAACTTGTGTTGCATAGGTACGTATACCGGCAGCGGAACCAACTATTTTCTGGCAAAAGCAGGAGCCCATAATTTGAAGTTTCCCTGTTGTAGAGATCATCATATGCCGCAGTTCTGTAGCACAGCACCCAAGACGTGGTTGGGGCGGGAGGGTACTGAACGCGAGGGTTTTCGTGATTTTCATCTGTTTCGCCGGAAGAAGAAAACAGTCTCCTTCGCAAACCTGCAAGGGAAAAAAATCGTATGATCTGAGCCCTGGACGGCAATTTCGATTGTTTGTCGTGAGCAGGTCCGACCTTTTGGGATACAGCATATATAATTCTTGGCAGTATATATGTATATTTTTTTTAGTTCGGGTGCAATGAATAACTTGCAGGTGGGGCTGTTCAAGCTCGGCGGGGAAGTGTTTGCGTATTTCTTGGTGGACCGGACCGGACGGCGGCCTCTGTTCATCGCAAGCTCTTCCCTCGTCACCTTCTTCTTGATCTTTTTGAGTGAGTTCGCGGCCCGCCGCTCCCTTTCAACAACGTGTCGCCCCGCGCGCATGGTCCCTCGGGGAATCGTTCCCGTTCATGAAGCCGCCTGCTGCGTGCAATTTGATGTGTTTGGAATCGTAGTGTGATTTCATGGCGCTTGTATTGCTGTCTCTCTGATTGTCGTGGACGCGACGGTTGCTGTGACCGTGCGGGTTGTTTTTGTGGCTGTTGGTGTTTCGTCTTCGCATTAATAACCGTTCCGATTCTCTGCCCATTACCCTCTCGCCTATGATAGTCCAACACTTGACGCGGTCGATTCCCGTGGTCACACGCTAGCTCACCCTCAATCAAAACAAATCGTTGGTCACGACACTCCGGTGGGGGTACCGTGTTTTTTTCGCTCATCCTTGGCCGTCTTTCCTGGCGTGACTCTGTCGTCCTGCTTCAGGCGTCACCTTCTCGGCTGCGGCCCCGGCTTGGATGACCCTGAGCGGGCTGTGCCTCTTCATGTGGTCCTTCTCTCTCGGAATGGGGGCGCTCACTTTCCTCGTCGCCGCTGAGGTGATGAGCGTTTTGTTTGTACATTCCTCCAACAGCTGGCTTTACTCTTGCGTAGGACGTTGCGTCGAGGGCTATGTGTGTTTGTGTGTATGGCGAGAGGGTGGTGACAAGATCTCAGCCTCGGAGCGCTTGATTTTGTCGCGGATGCCGAGGCGCAATTCTGCCGTGTGCCAAGTAACATCGTTGTCATGCTCCCATGTGCTGTTATTTGTCGGCGATTGTGTCGTCTGCATCGTTGCCTGTTGGCGTGGCTGTGTCGGGGGTGAAGCAAACGGTGTCCGGTCCGGCCCTCCAAGCTAGCCACTGCTGCCGTATCATCGCCATCGTGGGTGCAGGATGAAGAATATGGTATTTAGCTTATATTTGACGTGCCCCCCCCCCCCCCCCCCCTGGAAAAACTGGTGGCGCAAAAGGGGGAACCCAAACCCCCCCGAAGGGGCATCCTTGGGGGGGGGGGTTTTAAACGGGCCCCCCCCCTTTCCTTTTGTTGGTTGGGCCAAGAAAGGTTTCTGGTTTCTGGCCCCCCCCCGGTTTTTTTCTTGGGGAGGGGGCCACCGGCCTTTTATTTCACCCCACTAAGAAATTGGATGGGGGGCCCCCCTCCCGGCGGAAACCCCGTCTTTTCCCCGGTGGGGCCCTTTTGGCTTTCCCCCCCCCCTTTTTTTTCCCATGGTCGGGGGCCCCCCAAAAAACCCCAAAAAAATGGTGGGGGGCCAGGATTAAAAATTGCCCCCAAATTTTTCCCCGAGGGACCCCGGGCAAAGGGGGTCCCCGAAGGGGGGGGGCAACCCCCCCCAAAGGGGGTTGGGCCCGGCGGGGTTTTCCCC